TGTGATCGCTTTTGTCGTCCAGCGACTTCTGCTGCGGACAATATTTGGCCGTCGGCCAACGTTGTATGCAATTTGAGTTTTCCTTTGGACTGGCTAAGTGCTTCACGTAGATCCTTGTCATTGTTGACAATTACCTGAAATGGGGAAAATATAAATTTCATAACAAAATATCTTGATTTTAACTTGAGTCTTGAAACTTTAAAGTTGTTTTGTTTTGATTTACAGCGAAAAATAGCTAAAATTCCTTTCAAATTTTGATATATAATCAGTCAACTATATCTTTAAGAGATTCCCTGACTACGATTACTGTGGTATTACGGTAGCGTTACGGTACCAGTCAGTCAAGCATAAAAAGTCGATTTTAACCACATAAGCGAGCTATAGCACCTACACTGAATTGCTCGCTATCCAACTCAACAAGGAATACTGTGGATTACGGTAATGTTATTGTATCAGTTGCCCATTATATATTGCTACAGTATGTCTTATCCCCTTCTCAAATAAATGATAATTCAGATGCTGTACCGCCGTGACAGTCTTAACCTGTTACGATTTGGTGTAGCACTACTGTAGTATTACTGTATCAGTTACCCAAATATGGGAGTTTAGAAGCCACTGAATTCATATTTTGACATCCATTCGCCGAAATCGTGTAAGAAATTTAGTATACTGATACATATCACATTACGGTAGTATTACTGTACCCTTTGCGCTAGCATGAGTCTGGTCAAATACATTTCAGCTACCACTGATCCATGATTCCTTAGCTCAAGCCCCTGACTATTTGTGACAATCTTACTGTAGCTATTTTAGCTATTTTTTACTTGCCATTTCAGTCTAATTAGCTAGACACAGATATTTCAGAGCTGTCACTTGCACTGTTTTTTGTTTACCGTAAGATTTCTGAGATATGTTAGCAAAAACAGGCCTTAAATAGTATCTTACCTGTCTGCCATATTGGTCGATATAAGCGATGGCACCTTCGAAATCTGGTCTTATTTCGTGCACTTTCTTCATAAATGCCTAAAAAGAAAAAAACTCAAAGGAATTTTTTTGATGATATCTGCAGTGAATGCTGAACAATCAATGTTAGAGAACATAAATTTGCAAACAAAAAAAGATTTTCAGTTCTCTTCAAACCCAGAGTTCATGGAAAAATTTATGGCGACGAGTTTCCATTTTTGTGTGCAATTACACACATAGAAAATCTGTCAGCTATGATCGCAATAAGCAATTTATATAATTCAAGCATTTGCGTGAGAAAAGTCTAATGTATGCAATATTGCGTCAAAAAAAGTTTCTAATTTTGCTTGGTATAAAAATAGAAGTAGAAATGAGTTATGTAATGTCTAATTACACAACTTTTGGAGTTTCGCTCTAGTTTCCATAAATTCCCATTTCCAACTTAATGAAGTGCAATTCTTCTTCTAGAACAAAAAATTATGGATCCCATATCAAGCATAATTAGGCAATTTATATTCCAAAAAATTATCCTATTTGATAAGAATGATGTTATGCACGAAAAGAGCATTTTTAGGAATAATAATGCTCGATTCGAAGAGAATTTTCCGTGCCAAAAAAATCCATGAATAGGACCACGTAAATCGCCAGTTAATTGGTTTACGTAGGAGGAATAATGGACTCACATCATAAAGATCCGCATATTCGAGTTCGTAATCGCTAAAACGTAGCGCGTACTTTTTTCCAAAATGATTCCACTTCACTTTTCGTCCGGAAAACATGCTGAAAAAATAAGAATTGAAAAAATGCCCAAAACTATATAAATCTAACAAAAAAGACGAGTTGTCCGCGAGCTTGTCACGAGTCCATATGCGTAGTGGATATGCAATCCCGTGTATAATACGCTTAGAATAGGAGATGTAAGAAGGATTGTATTTCAGTAAGCTAACCAAACATGTAAGGATGAATGGATAATGAAAAATGTCTGTGCTTAGAGTGAGTAGGCGGGGAAGAGGAGGAAGAGGAAGAGGGAGGGGAAAGGAGACAGAAAAGAATAGAAAGAGACCGAAAAAAGAAGTTGTTTTTTGTA